CCTGTTGCTTGAAATAATAGCATCGCCCACCGACCGTCGTGCTGTTTGTTTTGTCATTTCAAGCGGCAATGTCGCAGCTGAAGGCGGAGCTACTGAACATGGAGTTCCCCTATGTTGAAGACCGGCTGGGGCAGGACCTCGGGGAGGCGACATGGAAGAACTGCTTCGCGATGATCGAGACTCGCGTCGGGCACGGATACGCTCTCACTTGGCGAAACAAAGTGAAGGTATGCACCCTTTTGGTGGTGGCGTGGTGCTGGTTGAACTGCTGTGTGTGAAAACGTACCGGCTGGTGTGGCCCTTTTGCCTTCGTGCGCAGTGGCGACTCAGCTCGATCCCGCCTTTGAACACCGAATGGCCGGCAAGCACACCTTCCAACATACCACGCGCATCTTGCTGTAGTGCATGCACCCCACCCTTGACATTGTAAACTCCTTCTCGCTGCCCGCCAGCTTCACTCTGGGAAAGCCGATGCAGATCGGCTGAGGACCAACAGGTGGAGAACTTGCAAGGTCGAATGCATACAAGGTGGGGCACCAGATAAGCGAGGTCTCACGGGTACAACCGCCGCTCCCGTGAAGAAAACGCGGAAGAACACGTCCTCGACGAAGGTACTACTGTTGTGAGCGATTCGAGCTGAGCAGAGTTACAGCAGAGTACTCAGTCGCCGTGGCGCTGCAGAGGTTCCAATAGAGAAGTAGGCAGGTTTCCGCTTGTGTTTTCCCGAGGTGGGTCTGTTCGCCGACGGATGCAAAAACTTCAGGGCAGCGTCTGTCGGGAGGCGTATCATATGATGAAAACCTCTGGAAAACCTACACTTCCCAAAAGTCGTATGTACGGCAAGCGTATGGCGGCAAGAGAACGATATCGTGTCATCTCTAATTTCATCTAGTCCTCGGAGCATGCCTTGTTGTCTTTTTTATATGCGTAGTTTTTACTGATATTGCCATAAAAAATCAACGGACGCGCTCGCATATTCATCGCCAAAGCACGGCCGTATCGGCGTGTGTTCCTCTGCAATTCCTCCCAAGGCAATAGTCAACACATGTTGTGTATGTTGTGCCTGCCTGTTTTGCTGTGACCGAAGTAATCTGCAAAAACAAAATGTCGTTGGTTTATTTGTATCTCGGATTGATGGGAGAATAGTATCGGATTTGACAACCCGGATTTTATGTGTTCGAACCGTCTACGCTGTCGTGCTTCCCTGTATCGTACCCCAATAAAGCAGGTATGATAGTGTGTCTTGGCGCAACGAAACATGCTCCTTCGTGTTTTTGTTTATGATCGATGGTGAAACCGACGCTGGGTGTGTTCTTATATATGACCAACGCTCAGTGCAACGCTGTGAATGCACATTGTTCCCGCCATTTGTTGCACGAATTCTAGATAAACTGCAAGTTCAACATCTCGATCAACTGGCCAACATCAGCCCCANATGATGAAAACCTCTGGAAAACCTACACTTCCCAAAAGTCGTATGTACGGCAAGCGTATGGCGGCAAGAGAACGATATCGTGTCATCTCTAATTTCATCTAGTCCTCGGAGCATGCCTTGTTGTCTTTTTTATATGCGTAGTTTTTACTGATATTGCCATAAAAAATCAACGGACGCGCTCGCATATTCATCGCCAAAGCACGGCCGTATCGGCGTGTGTTCCTCTGCAATTCCTCCCAAGGCAATAGTCAACACATGTTGTGTATGTTGTGCCTGCCTGTTTTGCTGTGACCGAAGTAATCTGCAAAAACAAAATGTCGTTGGTTTATTTGTATCTCGGATTGATGGGAGAATAGTATCGGATTTGACAACCCGGATTTTATGTGTTCGAACCGTCTACGCTGTCGTGCTTCCCTGTATCGTACCCCAATAAAGCAGGTATGATAGTGTGTCTTGGCGCAACGAAACATGCTCCTTCGTGTTTTTGTTTATGATCGATGGTGAAACCGACGCTGGGTGTGTTCTTATATATGACCAACGCTCAGTGCAACGCTGTGAATGCACATTGTTCCCGCCATTTGTTGCACGAATTCTAGATAAACTGCAAGTTCAACATCTCGATCAACTGGCCAACATCAGCCCCAACTCCTTCCATTTCGGAGGTGAGTTCACGTGCGTCGGTACAGGTGGCGTAACGGCGACCGCGGTACGGTCTTGTTGGGTGTGCTGAGTTGACCACAGCCAGGGTCGTTGGCCAGATGCATCCCAAAGACCTCGCTCGTGGTTTAGGTTTGGCACAGGTTTAGCAGCGCAATTTGTTGCAATCGATTTTTTCATCCAACAACCTTTTGCATACTCTCGCACTAATCGGTCGCCCGCCGATCCCCCTTCCTATGTCGTACCCATGGATGTGTTGTCGCTTCCTAAATCCCAACGGCTCAGACCTCCCTGTGCCTGCACCACTACGTTGACTCAACGGACGGCGGGGTCGAGCACGAGCCCCCCAATGTTTTTGACAATGAGATGACAGACGAGATGATTGAAGAACAGGCAAGCACCATTCGGATGCTGCACTTTCAGAAGGTGGACACGAAGACTATTCACAAGGCGCTTCAGTCGGGCAAGCGGAGGCTGGGAGAGAGAGGCAAGCCGAAGGTGAGTGGAGGAGGCAGACGCCCGACGATGGAGACCCGACGTAGCATACTGTACTTCCGAGCGGCGTGGAGGTATGGAGTTCGCATACCAGCGGCATCCCCTGGAAGGTGTCCTCGTTTGGTCAAGGTCGTTTGTCAAGTTGTGATGTCAGCGAATTTTGGGGTAGCTTGGCCATGAACTCTACGATCATTTCACTACTTTCCGTCACCCGGGCACTGCGTACATTTTCGCTGTAGGTGAGAACGATGAGGGTTCGATTCAACAAGGAACAAGCCGACGAGCTAGGAGGTGCCAACGACGCCCAGCAACTGTTGGAGCGGCTCCAGTTGGAGGGTTGTTGGATGAGGTTCGAACTTGACAATGCCGGGCGCATTACTCGCATCGCTTGGGCCACGGACGAGCAGAGAAAGAACGTGCTGCGGTACCACTGGATCATCATCCAGGACAACACGTTCAACACGAACGAGTGAGAGGAGTTTTTAGAGTGCTGTCGTGTGACCTCTTGTACTTACCGGCATGGTGTGAGCTTTCCCGTTCGAACTGAATGCGTCACTCGCCTATCGTTTGGCAAATGTCCTCGTCGTAATATTCGTGTCCGTTGTGTGCTCAATTTATTCGTCGCCCTCCACCAGGTACAAGCATCATCTGGCATTGATAGTCGTTGTGGACAAGGAGCTGGGGCTGATGTTGGCCAGTTGATCGAGATGTTGAACTTGCAGTTTATCTAGAATTCGTGCAACAAATGGCGGGAACAATGTGCATTCACAGCGTTGCACTGAGCGTTGGTCATATATAAGAACACACCCAGCGTCGGTTTCACCATCGATCATAAACAAAAACACGAAGGAGCATGTTTCGTTGCGCCAAGACACACTATCATACCTGCTTTATTGGGGTACGATACAGGGAAGCACGACAGCGTAGACGGTTCGAACACATAAAATCCGGGTTGTCAAATCCGATACTATTCTCCCATCAATCCGAGATACAAATAAACCAACGACATTTTGTTTTTGCAGATTACTTCGGTCACAGCAAAACAGGCAGGCACAACATACACAACATGTGTTGACTATTGCCTTGGGAGGAATTGCAGAGGAACACACGCCGATACGGCCGTGCTTTGGCGATGAATATGCGAGCGCGTCCGTTGATTTTTTATGGCAATATCAGTAAAAACTACGCATATAAAAAAGACAACAAGGCATGCTCCGAGGACTAGATGAAATTAGAGATGACACGATATCGTTCTCTTGCCGCCATACGCTTGCCGTACATACGACTTTTGGGAAGTGTAGGTTTTCCAGAGGTTTTCATCATATGATACGCCTCCCGACAGACGCTGCCCTGAAGTTTTTGCATCCGTCGGCGAACAGACCCACCTCGGGAAAACACAAGCGGAAACCTGCCTACTTCTCTATTGGAACCTCTGCAGCGCCACGGCGACTGAGTACTCTGCTGTAACTCTGCTCAGCTCGAATCGCTCACAACAGTAGTACCTTCGTCGAGGACGTGTTCTTCCGCGTTTTCTTCACGGGAGCGGCGGTTGTACCCGTGAGACCTCGCTTATCTGGTGCCCCACCTTGTATGCATTCGACCTTGCAAGTTCTCCACCTGTTGGTCCTCAGCCGATCTGCATCGGCTTTCCCAGAGTGAAGCTGGCGGGCAGCGAGAAGGAGTTTACAATGTCAAGGGTGGGGTGCATGCACTACAGCAAGATGCGCGTGGTATGTTGGAAGGTGTGCTTGCCGGCCATTCGGTGTTCAAAGGCGGGATCGAGCTGAGTCGCCACTGCGCACGAAGGCAAAAGGGCCACACCAGCCGGTACGTTTTCACACACAGCAGTTCAACCAGCACCACGCCACCACCAAAAGGGTGCATACCTTCACTTTGTTTCGCCAAGTGAGAGCGTATCCGTGCCCGACGCGAGTCTCGATCATCGCGAAGCAGTTCTTCCATGTCGCCTCCCCGAGGTCCTGCCCCAGCCGGTCTTCAACATAGGGGAACTCCATGTTCAGTAGCTCCGCCTTCAGCTGCGACATTGCCGCTTGAAATGACAAAACAAACAGCACGACGGTCGGTGGGCGATGCTATTATTTCAAGCAACAGGGNGTTTCTTCTTTTTCTACGCCTGTCGCCTTAGGCCTCGATCCAAAACGATATCCAACTCCTCGGCGTTTTCGTCACCTGATGCTCCTTCTGCGCAAATAATGGCCATCGACACGCGCTAAAGGGGCCATTCTACGTGGCTAAGCAGCAATGACCAGGACACTTACCGGCGAGAAAAACGTCATCTCCGCTTACGACATGGCATGGACTATTTTTCATTGCTTTTCCCACAAGGCAGGGCATCCGGCTGCACGTTGCCATGCAAGGCACAGCTGAGAAAAAAATCAAAGGGTAACACAGTCGTTGATACGGGAACCCGATTTCAGCAAGTTGCTCCTTTGGTGAACGAATTCCTCATCGACGTATTCAGCCGCAACGAGTATCAAAGACTCACCGTTCACGCACATAATCAAGATAACCACGACAAGTATCGCACTTCATTACACCACTCACAAGTTGGCGGTGTCACGGATACCAAGATCCATCGGGACTACTGTACATCTGCACCAGCCGATAAAGTTATCATTCCGTCCAGCTTTAGCCATGGCAGAGCGGGCGAACAACCTCACGAGAGAAGCGATGGCCATCTCACGAGTGCTGCATCAGCACACAACAAACATCTTTACACAATGAGACATTGATTGGTTGATGAACGTTTACATTATATACCACATCCGTCCAACCCTGAGAGGCCACAACCGGGTCGCCCAGAGCTCGCCGGCGTCATCGACGACTACTATACGTTGGGCACGACCATACCCGGCTTTTTCACTCCCATCTAGTCTTTAAAGAAGCCTTCAACCATCAACAACTTCAGTACTTCATCTTTCCCGCTCGCAGCACCAGCTGCGAAGATTCCATCCCCCCACTCGCCGCACGCACCCCTGTCACACTCGCCCCTATCCCCGAATTCTTCTCATTCGCCATCCTATGGGTTAGACCTCTCCAAGAGCACCTCCAATACTTCCATGCCCCCCAGCGCAGCAGTACATACATGCAGGCACCCAGCACATCGCAGTACCATCTCATCACATAATGACAGACAACGTAAATTCCATCAATCAACATACAGACATTCTCCGTATATACCTCGAAGTATCCTCCTGTCAAACCAAATATCCTGCTGTCTGAACGTTTATTTTGGTGAGCCATGATGAAAAAACGTTGGTGCTCTCGTCTTTGTCTATTTATGTAGTCTAGTCTAATCCTCCTGTCAAAACAAATATCCTGTCTGAACGTTTATTTNCCTGCCGTTGTTCTTCGGCTGGGCTTGATCGCATGCACGCGTCGCCGCTCTCTACCTCTACGGCGACAACTGAATGCTCGTCGTCACGTATCGTTCTTTTCAGGGACATATCTGCAGTGTGGTCTGCTGCGTTGCGTGTGCTGTGCGGCCTGTCGGCGGTGGTTATGTGCTGTGTTGCTTCGCTGCTGTTTTGAGTTTAAAAATGGGTTTCTGGTTGTGTGCTTCTGGGGGCGTGTGAGGCGTGCAAGTTGTTATTTGTAAGTGCGTCGTGCAAATAGGGGTCACCTGGCCAGCGCCGTTGCATGCAGACACGTGTACCCAGAAAACAAAAATATGTGGCAAAGATGGTACCAACATTCCCCCAATT